CGCAAGTAGTGAAAATCGAGTATATGCCATGTCAAGTATCTCAACAATGAAATAAGTAAGCCAAGTAAAATAAATCAATGTAAAATGATATGCCAGTTGGAGTCACCTAATGTGACCTGTACAGCTAAACCTATAGCTCATTAACCAATTCCTGCACACAAGTCGAAACCACCTAATGTGGTTTGTACGACAGGGCTGGGTGTAAATAAGTACGCTCAAGTTCTACGATCACGTGAAGGCTGTGCGAATAATCGTGAGTCACCTACAAATCAGAACCACCAAATGTGGTCTGTACGACAGGGCTATCCACCAAACTTGGATCGAAGGTGAGCGTGTGATGCGGGAGGTGAACATCACGTGAAGGACTGTGCCCTGACCACGGGCGAGAGCACCAACATCGGGGTGTAGGATAATGAGCTCTATATGTCTCTACGTATAACTATAACCAATGCAACCACTAACATCAATATGTACTCACTTGAAGTTTGCCTGGGCGTCCGCAGTATTATGCAATAATATGCATATCTATACTAATGCATATACTAAAATGTAATGCAATTGACATGGTATTATCCTTTTAAAACAATTTCTGGGAAAATAGAAAACATATATACGTATCCAAAAGCCCACTCACTTGGAGTCCGCGCTACAACTCCTTAACACAAACCTTAAGGCGTCATGAACGATCGGCGCTTAGAACAATTATCAACTTATGTCTTAGAATTCTTATCATTAGAACATATAACTTACATATCCTATTTGGGAAGATTCGTAAGTCGGATTCCCGATCTGTAGTTTCTAATATCCTCAAATATTACGTATTATAACACATCAAGGTTTGGTGACAATCCAACGGTCAGATTGTCGATTGCTATAATAATCAAGCAGCGGACCTTAATGGAACTACGCTCAAATGACGGAAATTCGTCAATCGAACTTCACCAATGAGGGTATTCAAATTTAGCCTAGGAAGGTCAGGGGACTTCTAGGCCCACGCTTCGCCGCACGCGCCGTTGCAAGTGGCGGTCGGCAGCCTCGACTCGCTAGAAAATTCAACTATTTCTCAAACTTCACAGAAATGAAGATCTCAGTGAATAGAGCAACTTTCATACCTATGACTAAAGCCAATTTGACTGGGAAATGTCCTAATTTCACGAAAACCCGTCAGAAACCCTATAAAGGGTGATTCTTGATTCGACCTCCAAACTCACTCCAACGCCTCAACAAACCCCTGGGCTTCGTTCCTAAACTCAAGAGGAGTCTAATGGTGGTGGTGGTTGACAGGATTTACTTCAGAAATGGCGGATCATCGTCACGTAACCCTTGGCGCACTTAACGCCGTTATTCACCAAATTGGATGAAAACACATCAAATATTGAGTTTAAAAGGAAGAATAAGGGTCATGGAATTGATTATAAGAAGAGTGTCTGTGTAATTCGTCGAATTTTGGCTGAAATCTCGATGGAAAATGGTCAAGAAGACCGGGTCTAGCATCGGGTCAGGAACCGGTTCGTGTGGGCTCCGGTTTGGCTGCATCCTCCATCTCTCCTTTCCCCTTCTTTCCTCATTCTATCATTGGCTAGCCTCTTCTCTTTTTTCTTTCTGATTGGGTGTCCCGGCCCTCATTTCTCTCCTTTATATTTCATCTCCATTGTCGAACTTTTCTTTCTTTAAATCTGGGCCACACACGTGGTTGTCCAGATTAAGCTTCAAAAATCTAGAGTTTTCTAGAAAATAACCAATTTACTAAAATACCCCTAACTTTAAACATTAATATCTCCTTCGTTATAACTCCAAATCACATTCCGTTTGCACCCACGCATTCGTAGCGACGAGTACTGCGAGGATATGCGCCAAGAAAATGAATTTTACGTAATTCGACAAGGCAATCAACAAAAGTCAACGTGTTTCCCTTGAAGGGCATTTTCGTAAATTCAATTTATAATTTTTTTTATGCATTTAAAATATTATAATATTTTACCCTATTTAAAAATAAAAAAGGTAAATTTCATTTTACCCTCTCAGGTTTAGGTGTAATTATAACCTCATACAACATCTTTAAAACATTTCAATCTCATACATTTAGTATTATTTTGTTTTCAATTTCATACAATCGTTAAAAAATATGTTAAATTAACCGTTAAGTGATGACGTGACAAATATAAGGTCCGCATTTGTGATAACATGGCTGCCACATTTGTGCCACATGGCTAAACACTTAATAAAAATTTTAAAATATTAAAATAATTAACTAAAGAAAAGTTATTAAAAAAAAAAAAAAAACCCCAAAAATCCCCTTCGTCTTCCCCACCCATCACCCACCCCTTTCTCCCATCCATTATCACCCACCTCAAAAAATCCCACCCGAGCCCACCCCCTCTGTCCAAGCTCCTGCGTTTTCTGTGGGAGCAGAAACTGCCGGCCAGCGTTTCTACGAATTGATCGGCGATAGGAAGAGGAAGAAGAGATAGGAGTGCATGAGATTAGGGTTAGGGTTTGAGGCTTCGCGGACAACTCATCTCATAGAGAAAAAGAGAGAAAGGAGATAGAGAATAAGAAGAGCAGAGGAAGAAGCTATCAGAAATGGTGAGTGAGGAGGGGACTGAGAAGGGGATTTTGAGGAGGGTGATGGGGGATGGGGGATGGGAGAAGGGGGTGGACTCGGGTGGGATTTTTTGGGGTGGGTGATGATGGATGGGAGAGGGGGGTGATGGGTGGGGAAGACGATTTCTGAGTTTTTATTTATTTATTGTTTTTTTTTACTTTTCTTTAGTTAATTATTTTAATATTTTAAAATTTTTATTCAGTGTTTAGCCACATGGCACAAATGTGGCAGCCACGTCATCACAAATGGGGACCCCATATTTACCACGTCATTACTTAACAGTTAATTTAACAGATTTTTTAACGGATGTATGAAATTGAAAACAAAATAATACTAAATGTATGAGATTGAAATGTTTTAAGGATGTTGTATGAGGTTGTAATTGCATCGAAACCTGAGGGGGTAAAATGTAATTTACCTTTTCTTTTAAATAGGGTAATATATTATAATATTTTAAATACACAAAAAAATTATTTTTTTGCCACATGGCACAAATGTGTTCGCCGCGTCTGCACAAATGTGGCAGCCACCTCAACTTTTAACGGACCAATGGATGGAAAATGTAACGAATGTATTATATTGAAATAAAATAGTACTTGAGGTATGAAGTGAAATTTTTTGAAGATATTGTATAAGATTGCAATAGACCTCAAACCTGAGGTGGTAAAGTGTAATTTACCCCAAAAAAAAAAAAAAAAGGCTTCAATGTTAAAATGGTCCTTGTGTTTTAGTCATCGTGTCAATTTAGTCCACATGTTTTCAATTTGGCCAATTTGGTCCCTCTGTATATCTTCATTAGCCAATTAAGGACATTTCCATCTAATTTATGTAAAAAAAATTATAAACTTATTTATAAAATTATTTATTTGATTTAAAATATTTGAAAATGAAATAAAATTAAAAATTAAAAGAAAATTATTCTCTTCTCAACTCCCCAACCTCCTGCCTAACATTTACCCCCTCCCCTCTCTTTTCTATGCCACAACCTTAATCATTTTTTAGATTGGAAGTTTTATCTCTTATATGTGTTATTTATTATTGATTTGCATTTTTTTTGTAAAGAGAAAGGGTAATTATATCTCATATAATTTTTATTATGAATTTTTTAAAAGAGATTGAATGAAATGTCCTTAATTTTCTAAAAGAGACAAACATGAGAACTAAATTACCAAATTAAAAACATGGAGACTAAATTGGCAAGATTGCCATTTTGACATTTAAAAAAAAAAAATTTAAGCACCTTTTCCTTTTGCTGCTTCCATTTTTTTTTTAATTCACACCTTTGCCTTTTGTTTGCCTTGCCTTGTACTTTAAGCACATTTGGCTAATTACTTACTGATCATGCTAGGAATATTAAATTTGGAGATTAAATTTGCAAATAAAATAACGCATCACCAATATGAATGAACATTTTTATCAACACTTAAATAATAGAGAATTGTTATTGACACTCCAAAAATCTCATTCTACATTCCAAACTTTCTATATTTGGAAAGAAATATACACTTGTGAGGAGTATAAAATGAGACTTTTGGAGTGCCAATAACACTTCCCAAATAATAAACCAATCATTAACTTTTATGTCATTTAGTTATGCAAATTTTATCTCCAAATTTAATTTCTCTAGCATTACTCTTTACTTGTTAACATGCTTCTTTGAGTAAATCAAGGGCCCCAATGATGCGCGTACAATAATGTCACATCTTTCATTATTCATATGTGGTGAGTGCTTCTCAAAAACTATCTATGAAAAATTAGATGAATTTAGTAGATGTACAGGAAGAAGAAAGTCTTATACCCTGTCCCCTAAATTAATGGAAGTTCTTGTTTCTCAGTATTTTATTTGAAAATTGCTCCTCAATACCAACATGTGAGCGCAAACTAGATCCAAATTGGACATGTAACGAAAAAACTATACTCGTTTAAAGTTTGATAAGAACTGATAAATTTTAACAGGCTTGTGTGAAACTGTACAAGTGAAAATTATCGGTGGGTTACTATTTAGAAACAAAAAATATCTGACTTTGGTGTTGTCTTTTGTGGGTTTTACCTCTACTAATTAATAAAATTCTCTTTTTCAATTAAAAGATGGTGAAATGACAAATTAATCTTTTACCATATAAAAAATGATGGGCAATAATGTAATTTCACAGGTCCAAATTTTACTTTTTTTTATTAAAACCTCACATACAGATAATGTTAAAATATCTCTAATATTAAAAATAAATAAATAAAATCCATAAACAAAAACCTCTCACTACCCCCACCCCCACATTCTCTCTCTCTCCTTCTCATTTTCTAAAAAAATGTGTTCATACGTACACACAAAGCCAAATGCTAGTTTTCTTTAAATTAAGGTTTTCCCTTTGAGGAAAGCACTCACCCACCAACGAAAACCACCCCTGCTTTCTCTCCCTCAACCCAAAACTTCCTCTCTTTGTCCTCCCTCACGCACTCTCTTCCGCCCTCACTGTGCACATACTGTGCACGCACGGTGCACAACTTTTCCCGCCACCATCGCCCAAACCAAGGGCACCAACAGTTTCGTTTCTCCTCACAAGACCAGAACACGTAGCCTCCTCGTCTCGAACTTCCTTCCAGATCGCCGGGATCGAAGCTTGGTATGTCCGTGACTTTCCGGCCATTTTTCGAGAAAACTGCGGCATTTTAGCCTTCGAGAAGGATACCATTCTTTACGTCTTGTTCCGAGGTATAATTTTTGTTTTTGAACCACTCATTGAGTATTGAGGAAGTTATGAAGATTTGATAATTGTGCAGAAAACCGGCCAAAAGCAATTTCAGCCAGTTTTTGGAACTCCGGCGAAACTTTCCGGCGCAGACAACCGAGCTCGAGACCACCAACATTGGACTCACCTTGAGTTTGGGGGAGTTTGGGAGCAAAGCCCAGATTCCAATAGGACGTCAAAGCACGCACGGCGGCGAGCGACGAAGAATTCCGGCGAAATCTGCAGAAACTGGTGAGTTTTATGCAACTGGGCTCGGCTCGGCGACTCGGTTGACCGGCTTGACGAGGCGTACGACTCCGGCGGTCGAGGTCTGTGTACGAACTTTTTCTTTGTAAATGAACTTTTAAATAATATTTCTTCCTCTTGTATTCTTGATTAGTATGATTCTTATTTATGATTAATTTATCTGAAAATTTGATATTACCCCTTGAAACTATATTTTCTTCTACTAAAACCCATCTGCTTTTGTTTTCTTGAATAAAGCCCATTGACTAGCCTCCAATTAAACAAATTCTTTAATTAAGTTTGACTTTTCAAATTGTGTATTTTTCGAATGCCTAAACTACCCCTATTAATACTTGGATAGGGTTTTTGGATCAGTTACTTGTTATATCCATTTAATTAATTTTATATATTTTACAAAATAATTCATGCCATTCATTGTATATTCAATGTATTAACTTTCAAATTGTTATAACGTGCCAATTGAAAAATAATAATACTAATTTCATAATTTTGTGCATTACATATATAAGTTAATTTACCTACCAACACAACAATAAACGTAAAACAGCTTCGGCTAATATTCCAATCCCTAATACACAAAACAAAAGCTATATGTTCCGCACAATTCTTACCTACAAAATAGTCTAATTTACCTATTACATCAAACCAAAATTTAAAGGGTCTAGTATACTTTCAAAATGGTCTAATTTACCTACATGATTTATGTGCATTAGATTAAAAGTTTATTTAATTGCCTACAAGCACAAACCCACAACATTCGAACATTATCTAATATCACTAATTTTTTTTTTTTTTTGGAATAGGTAAATTAATTTAAATGTAGGTAAATTAGTATAATATTAATAAGTAGGTAAATTAATTTAAATGTAGGTAAATTAGTATAATATTTTATAAGTAGGTAAATTAATTTAAATGTTGGTAAATTAGTATAATATTTGTATGTAGGTAATTACATGATTCAAAATGCAGGTTTATTAGTATACTATTTTATAAGTAGGTAAATTAATTTGTATGTAGGTAATTACATAATTCAAACAATATTATTTTTTCCATACAAGATTGTCTTTCTCTTTCAAATTTGGTAAATTAATTTATATATGTTGCTAATATTTATGATACAAGAAAGGTAAAATATCCATATGGATTTAATTGCTCATCATAATTAGGATGAGTAACAACATTTATTGACCAAATTAGGATTCTATGGCATAAGTTGTAATTGTATTGTAATAGTTGGTCATATATTTGTCTACATGGTAGGCTATTTGAAATTTGGGTTTTATTTGAATGTTTAAATTTAGATGGGTTTTTATTTGGAAAATAGGAGTTTCAAGGGTCTATATCTAAAGAACTCTTAATTTATTGGTGGAAATTTGCATCCATGTTTACAAGTTTTTAGTTGTTATCATATTAGTTGGTAATATACTGAATTAAGTAGTAGTGCCTGCATCAGATAGAGAGATGGATCCGAGAATTCACAAGTAGTAGTGCCTGCATCAGATAGAGAGATAGAGAGATGGATCCGAGAATTAACAAAGTAGTAGTGCCTGCATCAGATAGAGAGATGGATCCTGGAATTCACAAGCATCCATTGACTTTAAAGGAAGAGAAGGAGAGTCATGGTCCACTGCGGTTCTGTAAGGGGTGCCTAGAACCAGTGCTTGGGCCTCACTACACTTGCGACATGTGTGACGTCAATATACACAAGTCATGTGCGGAGTTACCCAGTGAGATCCACCACCCGCTTCACCCAAAACACCCTCTTATTCTCAGAAACCTAGCACAAGAGCACCGCGGCTCCGAATGTGGCGTGTGTAGCCACTTATATCCAAAAGAAGGGTTTCTAGCTTACTATTGTTCCGGATGCAACTTCTGGATAGACATCAAATGTGCTTTCATGTGGCAAAACGACGGTCATGAGCACAAGTTCACCATTATTAGGAGGCCCATTGAATTCACTTGCGATGTCTGTGGCCAAGAGGATGACAATCTTCAATACAACTTCTGCATCTGTAAAATCTGCCAGCTCATTGTCCATCGCACATGCTCTTGGTTACCGCTCCAAGTCAAAATAGCACGGCACCAACACCGCCTCAAGCTTACCTGGTGGTTCCAAGACATGTACCCCGAATACCAAGATTTCTGTGACATTTGCGAAGAAAGCATGGAGAAAAACCGTGCTATGTATTGTTGTCATGCTCTTGAATGTCTTGGTTATGCTGCCCACTGTAAATGCTTAAGAAACGAGGGAAAAATCATGAACATCCTTGTCGATGATAATGATGATGATGAACCATCCACATCCAGATGTCCCCCAGCCAATGAGACCACTGCTGATGATCATGAAGCCCTGCAGGTCGAGCACTTCAGTCATCAACACAAGTTAACCCTCATTGATGGCCTAGAGGTGGCAAGACAAGACGACCAAGATGAAGGAATTACTTGCAACGGTTGCACGCTACCCATCATGAGGGGTGAGTCTTATAGGTCATGCACAGAACAAGCAATAGAAAAGCCATGTAATTTCTCTCTCCACATAAATTGTGCTAAATTACCCCAAAAGAGGCTTCTCCCACTTCACGAACACGAGCTCAAACTCCTTCCAGAGGCATCTTTTGTTGGTGGCGTGTTTAAGTGTGACATGTGCGAGTCCTTGAGCCAAGGTTTCTCATACAGTTGTGGAGATTGCGACTTCTACCTGGACCTTTATTGCAGTAGTCTTGAGCGTAAGACGCTCCTTTGTGATGCTCATGTTCACATCCTCCAGTTCAGCAGAAAGCTCTTGCACTGCAGCAGTTGTGGTACTAGTTATAAGAATTTCTGCTTCAGATGTAGCAGTCAGACATGCAACTTCGGTCTGTGTATTCCTTGTGTTAAATTACCTCTTACAGTCAGGTACAAATACGACGATCATCCTCTCAAACTCACTTATGCTAGTGTTAAAAATGACCTCGATGAGTACTATTGTGACATATGCGAAGGAAAACGAGATCCAAAACATTGGTTCTACTCCTGCCCGGATTGTGACTTTGATTGTCATCCTCATTGCATTCGAGGGAGGTATCCGCAAGTCAAGTTAGGGGGCTCTTACAAGCATGATGAGCACCAGCACCACATCACTCTTGTTGATAAGAGAAAAAGCGTGATTCCTAATGATAAGAGAGAGCGCTTACTTCCGTGTCCTCACTGTTTTCAGATTTGCGAAGGATTGGTTTGTGAATGTTTGGAGTGTGGTATTAATATACACCGGTAGCACGAGTGGGTGGATTGGGTGGATGATGTAGGAATTGGCGGGTCGGTGGGTCGCTGGTTTCGTAAGTTCGTTGCTTCTAATGAGCGGGTGGAGAATAATAGCAGGAGAAAGGTACCAAAGCATGTTTAGCCATTAAGAGTAGCAACTCTTCAACAAAGAGTGTTTCATTCTCAAATACTTTTTGCTCTGTATTACGCATTGGTTCAATTTGTTTGAGTGTTACTATAAATTTGTAAACTTATCCACCAAATTATTTGATGTTAATCTGCAAACAACTCTGTATCCAACAACTTTTCTTGTTTTCGAACCATGGTATCCAACTAGGTACAAGAGAGAGCGATGCGTGCAAGTGCGCCCCTGATGGATGCTGCCAACATATAAACAGAGTGAGGGTTCGTTTGTGCTCGAACGAAATAGAAGAGAGATGAATAATAACTAGTTTTAATGGTTCTATTGATAGAGAGACAGAGCATACAAATCTTTGAAATAGAAAATGAATTACAGGATTCTAACAGAAGCGCTAGTAAATTCAAACAACTAGGCTTAAAATGCGAAGGATATATGGGAGAAGGCAACATTGAGCCATCTCAGGTTCGATAATTTCCAGAGTGCGAGTGAGGTAAACTGGACCTTTTGTCTTTGACCAGCTCTGCGCCAGCACCGGAAATTTGTTCGCGATGACAGTTGTGCGGTCATACAAGGGCACGTCGCACGTAGCCTTGTCGACCGAAATGGACATTGGTGCCCTTCAATGAAGGGCACCAATACGCCTAGGACTTGGGTCTGAGTTCTTGGCCTTACTGTTTATTACCTAAATTTAACCCCAATTCACACGCTTAAAACGGAAATGAAATTGCTTCGGCCCTAAACAGGCCTAATTTTCATTTATGGTCCAAACAGTAAATCCCGACGCCGTGTCAAGGCCAAGGATGAAATAATGAAGAAAAGCATGGTCCATATCAATAGAAATGAGATGCATTTGGTCAAGGAATGAATTGATATGAAAAAAAAAAGAAAAAGAAAAAAAAAGGGAAGTGATGCAACAGCGGCCACAATGTAGAAGTTGGGCAGAAGTCCGTGGGATGTCAAAAGTTGGGAACAAGTAACAGAATGCTTCTAAGTTTTAGATGTGAATCATGTTATCAATCAGAGCCGCAAGTTCAGTTCGCTAACTTGGCTCGTTGACAGATGACTTAAGTTAAACATAACACAGTAAACAAACAATACTGAGTACACTCTACTCGTTGCCTAAGAATCAACAGTCTTCGACATATCATGTATACCTCCTCCTCTGTACACACAGAGTATAACATCATCTCCGTCCCCATTACTTCGAACATAATCTCCTAAAATATCAACCAGAAAGCAAACGCATATAAAATTTCTATTTTGAAAATCTTGCTTTTCGTTGTTTGCCAGCATATCAGAATGTGTATAAGTGTGTGTGTGCAGGCATGTTTGTGAGTAAGAGCACACTTTATCAAGGATCATAAAGCATGGCGGAAGAAAACAAACAATTGTCTAAGCAACCTTCAATTTTTTGCTGAGATAAGTAAAAAGGACCATAACATATATTCACATAGAGATGACAATGACATCCATGACTCCGCACAGGAACATATAATTACATAGACTTCAATAAAATTAAAATAAAATCTGTTAACCCTTAAACTCACCTGATTTTCCTTTGTTAAGTATTTGAGTATCCTCAGCTATCAATTGCGACAAAGTGTCAACATTAAACTTCTGCTAACATGTTCATAAGAAGTCAGAGTACGTCGTTATTCATTTGCTGTTAGAGAGACAGAGAGAGAGTTCAGACGATACCATGGAAAACCATTACAAAGGCCACATTTCTAGTTCACATGTTCAACGAATGTGCAACAAAATCCATTCAAGGCCTATAATACATCATCACAAAGGACATATCTTTATTCAGACATCGGGTCTACAGGTCTATCTCCAGCTACAAGTTTTCAGTTTTCATTCTTTTGAGCATCAAAGCACTAGTTTAAACTGGATTTTGATAACTTGAACACTTACATACTCCTTCTTCCCTAGCCTATTATTTCGTTAACTAGTAGTCAAATCCAAGCATACGTTCACATTCATCACATGTGTATGCCCATAGTTATTTTCCTTTTCGGGCAAAAAGGAATAGACGCAAAAAAATGAAGGCATTTCGTCTAATATCAAAAAATGAAGTTGGTCAGAGATATTCTTTTTACAGCTAACAGAAAGCATGTCTCTGGCTAGCAACAGAAGCAAAGAGTACGGAACAAGTAAACATTGTTATCGGAACCTCACAGTCAAAATCATCCGCTAGCTAAGAAGGAACTCAGAAATTATAGAAATGCAAAACACATAACAAGGACAGTATAAGGAATGATAGGTGAACCAACAAGGAGGTGAGCAAAGAAGGTGTGTAACCATCACAACAGCAGAACTGAACTCATTTGCACTCAACACCAGCTTCAGCAGCTCGATGAGGCTTATTTTTCCGCCTACTCCCATTTTGTCGGAATCCAACAGCCTTTTTCGGGTCATCAAGACTTGATTTTGTTTCAATCATTTTATCCTCTTTGACTGATTTTATAGTTTCTTTAACCTGAGCCGACCTCTTCCTTTTCCTTCCATTCTCTATGGCAGATTGGTCTTTCATGTCTTTACTCAAAACACGACCTTTTGCATCATCACCGTCTTCTGTCTTTAAAGCCACTTCTCCTTCTTCAATATCATCCTTCAATGTCTTTAGTGGCCTTCCTCTTCTCCTGCTTGGTAGAATCCTTTCCTCTTCACCACTTCCAGTATCCTCACGAGCAGCAATAACATTTTGTTTCTTTGCTTTTCCTCTACCTCTACCCATAGTACAAAAGACGTCGTGAAGAAATTTCCCAACTAATTTTCGCACACGCAAACCAATGATTTCCAAAAACTACACTGTATAGCTGAATGAACTCCAGCTATCAACCTGCAAACTTTGTATGACAGAAAACAAATAAGCTATCCACAAGCAGAAGACGACTGAATCAAATCCATATCAGCCGCCAATATAAAGTTAATTCCTATCACTCTCTTTTGTTTCTCTTGAATTCAATTAAGAAGAAAGAAATTTCAGGTCCAAACCCTTGATCTCAATAATTCAAATATCCAAAACCAAAAGCGCATCTTAATACTGCCGAGATATTCAAATATCAAACGATTGTACCGACTCAGTTTAATCACGTTAGTATAGAGAAGTCGAAGGGGAAATAAACGGAAACACTTGGAAACGGTAACTAAGTATCACGAAACAGCTACAGTGGTTCCGTTTATTTCCCTTTCGACTTCTCTATTACTTATTGTACTAGTAACTGCAGATCAACAAGAAAGACCGATCCTTTTTGGATCAAAAACCAATGGCAAGGCAAACCAATCTGGCTTCACTTTTATATATCCAAATCCTAATCCCAACTTTGGCTGCAGAAAAAAAATATGCAAGATAGAATTCATAGATTTGAACCTGAAGACTTACGCTTTCAGTTTCAGATTATGATGAACAAACTCCACCGACTTTCAAAATTCTCAGGTTCCAAACAATTAGAAATCCACGATGACACAAGCAAATTATTTTCTTTTCTCTTCCATTTATTTTCACATAACAAAACAAAAGCATTCATATGAAAAAATCAATATACACACACACACACATGGAGAAGAGAGAAGAAGAAGGGCTGACCTGAAAGCAAATATCCACTTTCTGCATCTTATTCACAAAACCCATTTCTCAGATTATGAATAGACCAATCAAGAAACCAACAAAAACCCATCAACCAGAATAGCCTTGTTTTTTCTATCACCGGTGAGGAAGTTAGCAGAATCCAAATGAAATTGAAAACTATGATCTGAAATAAACAAGCAATGAAGACCGAGATCAGAAAATGATGTGACTAGAGAGAAAGGTTAGCAGAAATAATGGAGGGGTCAAGAGATTAACCAAAAGCAATAAGATTTTGAGAGCTTGGAAGAAGGCAAAGGGAAGAGGAGAAACTGGTGAGAAAGTAATGAGAGATTGGTTTTGTCGTGCTCTTCCTAGTTCCTAGTCCAAGTGTCTTTACATAATGAACAGTGTGCTTAGGTCACAATCGAATCCAGTTGGGTATCACTTTGCACTTTTTTCCCTTTTTTTTATTGTAAATATATATATTTTTTTTCCCATCTTTGTTTAGGACCCACACAAACGAAGATGGGGTCGAATGACCCAAATCAATTCGCACATCCATGCGCCCACCTGTGATGCAACAAAGTCCGCCACATTGTTTGCCGATCTTGGGATTCAAGACCAGACATATGCGTGGAAGGCATCGTCCAGCAAGGATCGGCTCTGAGAATTTGGAAGCCCTAGGTGAGCCTTCGAAGTGGATTCCAAAAATTATCTAATCTCCGATTTTTTGTATATTGATTTGTATAAAAAAGAATTCGCTAAATACATAAAAAGTTCTATTTTCACATCAAATATCATTAAAAATTAATATCAAAAGAAGATAAATATTCAAACATTATTTAAACATTACACGATTCACATTTTTAAACACAAATGTACTAAATGTTTGCAGTCAAGAGTCTAAGATTAAAAATGAAGAACAATAAAACTTGATGATCAAGAGATTAAATAACAATAAAACTTGATTAACGAGTATAATAAATTTAACACCAATTGTTTCTTTTGTGTTTTTTTTTCTAAAATCAACATCACACTAACGAATTGTATATTAAAATAATCCATTGAATAAAAAGTTATTGAAAAGAAAAATATAAATTCAAAGTTTTGATTACCTTAAGTACAATCTTTAAAACCATATGATAGTTGGTTTAAACATTCAATAGAAATGGAGAGAATGAGAAGTTGGTTTAAACATTCGATAGAATTTGAGAGAGAGAAGTTGAAAGAAAAAAAGATTGCAAAGAGACTTGAGTTTTATAACTTTATATACATTTGGACAGATGGATTGGGAGTTAGAGAGATGGATTGGAAGTGAATTTGAAAAACAAGAAAATTCTAGTAACTGAAGGGCAGCTTTGTGTTTCAAACTCAACACCCCAAAGAAAAATGAAGCCAACATTTCCACTGAACTAACAAATGAATTATGATATTTCTTTTTTTTTTTTTTTTTTTTTTTTTTTTGTATTTATATATAAATTATAAGATATAAAATTATTTTGAGAGCCTTTTCGAAGTGGGGCCCTAACCGGGCGCCTGCTCTCAGGGTCGGCCCTGCCTCCAGCCACTGTATCTTGTACACCGTAGGGAACGCCTCCCAGCTACATTTCTCAAAACATCCATTTTACAAGATATAAATTTTTTATCGGATGCCCACCAGCTTGCATCCACATTAACCATAACGGAATCACACGGAGGAGGGGACCAAGAAGCATTAGGAGAAAAGCCAACCTACCCCCAGCCGATTCCCCCGATCTCACAACACGAGCATTGAAGAAAGATGTGGTAGCAGCAGAAATTGTGAGCAAAGTTTGGTGGGGAGATGGCAATTTGTGCTTAAAAATAGCATTGCACCGGGACTTCCAAATGTTCCAGCAAGTGAACGCAATCAAAGCCATGGAGTGCATCCGGTCCTCCCTACTCTCGGAGACCATTTCGTACATGTGTACCAACCAAACATGGAAGGAGCTTACAGAATCCCGACTGACACAATAACCCAAAGGGCCCCGAAACCAGACCCGTTCAACCCACGAACATAATAATAAGGCATGTTCAATCGATTCCTCATGGAGATTACAAAAAGGGCAAAGAGGAGATGCGCCACATCGCCTGCGAAAGACCTCAATCTTTGTGGCAGTTGCCCTATTTAGAACCCGCCAAAGGAAGTGTTTTATCTTTGGGGGGACATCAACATCCCAGATAGCTTTCCACACCAAGGGATTGATAAGCATAGATGATGACGGTTGATAAGCATAGCTAATGTATTTACTTAGTACTGCATTAATTGACACTAGCACCATTTAACTTTTCAAAGGCATATACTCAAAATTCCAAAATTCAGGATCAAGGCAACGTTCAATTTGCAACAATTTCATAGAGCTTCAAGGTGTGTAAAGCTTGGGATCTAAATCAGAGTTAGCCGCCCACCCAACGCTGGCGTTAATTGCTCTTAATCGTTGAACAAGATATCTCTGATTTTTCGAACGGATACAGTGGATATGTTTATGAATGCTTTAAAATGTTTTAAGGCATGAACAAAATCTGTTGAGCAGTAACCGAACCACCAGCACGTCAGTTCTGAAATCCTGTACACCATCAAGAGTGCGATATATACTTCCAAACTTCAACAAAATTCGAAGAAACAGGTGAATGCATAACTCTTCATATGCTTTCACCAGAGACTCCCACCAATCCAATAATTATGCCCTGGTAAGTTTCAGCAAGCATAAGCCACATATGCAGGTTATCATTTACCCTTCATCCGTTTTCAGAAACACATACCCAAGAATTTCAAATTTGATTAGAACAGTAAAACCTCGGTTAAAGAAGATACAGCTTAAAGTTTGATAACGAAGTCAAACTGGGAAGTTTTCAGGATCACGACGATAAGCCATTTTAAACTGAACTACTATGAACTTGGAAGTGCCAATTGGTTGTGTATGGTGGAGATGCACTCATGAACTCATAATCAACAAGATAAAGATAAACTTTTCACATTAAAAGAGAGAGGGAATAAACAGAAAATGCATTACATTATATAGAAAATTATTATATCACTTCGATATAAAAATAAACTGATCTAGCATCTACGCAGAACATGAACAATTAATACGTCCAGAAGTACCCACACTTACACTAATCCGGTAGCTAAAAACTTTTTGCTGTATTTAACTCGTATGTGCCTTCTTGTTTTGTAACGCTAAGAAAATCTCCGCAAGTGAAAGAAACAGGAAGAAGTATGTTAGTATCAACTATCAACTTAAGAATAATGAACAATGCAGAAAGAACCATAACAGAAAAGGCAATGAATAGCTTAATTCTTGGAATGAATTTCATTCTTCAAATCCTCCAACACTTGAGGACCACTAGGATGACGATTTACATAAGAAGTCATAAAACTTTTATCTGAGCAAGAAACAATAGTGCTCAAGCAAAGCCGAGGATCAACTGTTCCATGATCTTTGAGCCAATTGTACATCAGTATTCTAAGCTGGACACTTTCGATCTTATGGGAAAGATATCTTGGGAAGGTCACCAAAGTCGATATGGGGTAACCCAATCGATTTACAAGAAAATCAATCTTCTCTTTGATGATATCCTTTGTCTGGTTAAGAATTTGAGGGCTTATTTTAATCATTGTACAGACATCCTCTGGACTCAAACCAGCTTTAACAATACAATCAAATCTTTCCTGAAGCTCCTCTCCCTTGCCTCGAAATGCTTTCAGTGCTTCTTTGATATTGTCTGAGTTGTCTACAAATCCTACATCAAACAAAAACTTAATCTTTTGTGTCTTTGATCTAAGGTCATCTCCCGAGTCTGGAAATGGCTGAACTCTTTTACCCAAAACCCAATTCTTCAGTTCTTGTGGGTTCTCCTGGATGTATATACACAATCTTTTCTTCCCGGTGTTCAAGTTAGTGAGTAAGCTGACGGTTTTTTTCAAAGAACAAGAACCAAGAAGCAGGGTGTGGGTAAGGACAAACTTCCCAATATCTGCAACCTTCATGTCAATTTCATTCAGGAACAAAATGCATTGTCTCAAATTTGAAACAAATTTCACAACTGGAATCTGTGGAAATTGCAGAAATATTAAGCATAGGTGGCTTTTTGTGGATCCAAATTTCAGAAAGAACCCAATTAGTGAAAGCGTCCTTTCACCTGAACCGTCAAACAAAATATCTGGGTGCTGGCCAATCAATTGACCCAACTGTTCGTTGCTGCAACCCATCTCACTAAACAAACTTAGAACTTCAAGCATCCGGTGAAAATTATGAGAATTATCAGTAGACAGATTCCCCTCAATCCAATTGGTTTCAAATCCAAAACTCTGTAATTTTTCCAATACCTTAACAAATTCAACATTTACATCCCCAATTACAAGACAAGGAGTAGCAACTATAAACTTAACAAAACTAGATTGGCTAAGACCTAGTTCTTCATAAGCTTTAAGTTTCGATGTCAAAACCTCAAAATCATATCGAAAGACTTCTGTCGATTCCTTGTAAATCTTTCCTATCTTACTGCGCGCAATCCCATAATGACATAGTACAGTATAATTGTGCACCAATAACTTATCATCGGTCAAAAACGTCAAACTGCGTGGAAGAAGCGGAGAATACTCAGAAGGCTTCAAACCCAAGCTCTCAAAGAAAGGCTCAAATTCGTTAATAGGGTGGTAACGCAAGAACCGCGCAATTGCTCGCCCAATTTCTTTCTGATTATTCTTTGTGGCAGGAATTTCTTTTTCAATGTCAACCTGTTTCAGAAGCTTGTCCAGAAACAGAGGCGAGTTCTTACTCATATTCTCTGCATCCGTGAACTGCAACCCTCTAGTACCGTGCAAATAATCCAACAATGCATCTTCAGCTTCTTTGCGAATGGAACAAGAAATTCGTCCAGCATTTTTTCCCTTACCACTCGAAGCTTTATACGAATTTTCAGAATCCTCAATTTCAGAAGCTCCATTGGTTCGGTACATTCTAAAGATTGGGGCATTGCAGACATACCCAATCGGATGAAATGGGATTGGTGATGATCCAACACGGTTTTTGAACAAATTCGAAGAAACCCAGTTGAGAAGAGATGCTAATCTGAGTTTCTGCAAATGGGTCATGGCAAATTTGAAGAGATTCCAACCCTAGTGATTGCTAGAGAGCATAAAACGCCCAGATTTCCAGGTAAACACAAATAAATATGGAGTCTTTGGATGAAGTATTACCTTAGGATTTGACGAACAGTCAGGCATGTGCTCAATACTCTGCAAGATTTTGCAGGAGCTTCGGTAGCGATGCCGATGAGCTGTTATCTGACCCGAAGGGTTTTAGCACTTTTTGGTTGCAGGGTTAGGGATCAGAGTAGGGTTTTAGGCAAGTTGAGTCCAATAGTGGGGGCACTCTTGTCTTTAAAGCTAGGAGCTCAATTACTAATTAAGCCTATTCAAAGAATTGTTATTAGTGCTTCAAAATTTTTATTCTACACTCTAAACTTTCTATATTTAGAAAGAAAAATACAGTTATGAGGAGTGTAAAATGAGATTTTTGAAGTGCTAATAACACTTCCCCATTCAAAAGGTGGGTCAATTTCTTTTGAGTAGGGTCACCATTTTAAGCATAAACGAGGGAGGGGCAATGGACATTGAGTGGGTTGGTCAGGTTGGAGTTCAACAGCCAATCTAATAGGCTTCGATTGATATTATTGAAACTCATTTTCACGCAAGAATATGGGCAAACTCACCCACCCAAACAAACCAACCCAATGAATTTCGATTGGTTGATCAAACTGGTCAGTAAACCCAATAAAGTGCTCACCCCTAGCCGAAACTTTATATTTTTTCAGTTTGCTTTTACACTCGTATTTCTTTATAAAGTTGGTGTTAGCGAAACCACATTGTGTAGATCAATCGAAACCATCTCTTTAATCGAAATGGGGTTTCCAATATAAATAGGTCTCGTTTAGATGTGACATTCAAAATGTGATCTTCATAACATCTTCATTACAATAAAAACCGTAATATTATCATCATTCTAAGAGTGCGTCACCCGTTAGTAACTTAATGATGATTGGCGGAGGCCAGGAGGCTGGGATTACCGTAATTTGAAAAATCCTTCTGCAACCAGCCCTAATGAGCGGACTGCTACTATTGATTCTGAGTAGCACAACAATTTTCATATTCCAGAACTACAAGTTTACAACCACCATCCTGCGTATGATCCACATCTTCCAAACCAATGCAACAAGTTTAAAAACAAATTTTATGGTCAAACTTTTTTTCTCGAGTAAAAATCTCGAATGGTTTTATTCTTTCTAATTCCTCGAACGCTCCTGATATGTATTTTCTGTCACAAAACCAGAGACGATGACAGGCAACATACCATCAATTGATCTTTCTTTTTTTTTTTTTTTTTTTTCTGGAGATTTTGCTTTGTTACAAACTTACACGAACGTTGTCACGTTGTACAAGGGCTTCGAGCTATGGCAGCAATAAAAACAACTCCATCAACTTCACACAGAACTACTAGGGTGTCAATCCATCGATTCAAACCATGAAAGCCTGCACCTGTATTCATATGAACTTCACTAGCCTACGAAGCTAATATCCGTAAACTTAATAAACAATAATCAATCCCAAACACAACACTAGTGTATCGGTTTCTTGGTTTTATGCAGACACCATCACAAATCAAACCATTCTATCCTGGCAAGTTATATCAAGCATGACACAAGCCGCTTGTGCAAGTTCTTGTTTCACCTTGTCATCAGTTTGATGAGGGCAGTTGAAGGCCACGAGTTTTGATGATAAAATAATAGCTGTTATAGTATTCTGATAACGGCTGAAAGTCATTCAAACTTACATGTTACTTCTAAAGTTAACCTCATGCAGGAAAACCTAACTAAGATGACTCTGGTAATATAACTGCGAAATAAGGAGATACGTTTTCAGGGTTATGAGGACAGTTTCCCTTCCACAATGAATGTAAAAGTAAAAATTTACTATGCTGAAGTGGAGATGCAATCATGACTAACTAATTTCATAGTATCTGTTCGTATTTGTCATCTCACCGCAAACTGTAATCCTACTGAAACCTCAGCATGTTAATGAAAAACTAACATAGCATCAACATGGTGATAATCAACAGTGGAGAACCATTTTTAAGAGAGCAGTGAAAATTTTATTGATCCAAATGAATTTTATTCTTCAAATCCTCCCACACTTGAGGACCATTAGGATGGCGATTTACATACTTCCTTATAAAACATGCATCTGAACAAGAAACAACAGTGCTCAAAGCATACCTAGGATCTGCCGTTCCTTGATCTTTGAGCCAATTGTACATAAACACCCTATGCTTGACCCTTTTAATTCCATATGTAAGAAATCTTGGGAAGGTCAGCACAGTTGATAACGGATAACGCAAATGATTTACAAGAAAATCAATCTTCATTTCAATAACAGCCTTGACTGGCTAAGAATTAGAGGGTATGCTTTAATCATTTTGCAGACAGCCTTGCGATCCAAACCAGCTTCCACAATACAATCAAATCTTTCCTGAAACTCCCATGCATTGCCTTGAAATGCCTTTTGAGCTACTTTCATTTTGTTTGAGTTCTCTACAAATCCTATGTCTAACAAGAACATAGTCTTCTCTGTCATTGATCTACGGTTCTCTAATGGCCTAAGTCTTTTACCTAAAACCCAATTCTTCAATTCTTGAGGGTTCTCCTGTATGTATCTACACAGGCTCTTCTTTCCAACTTTCAAGTGAAGAAGTAAGGTGTTAGTTTTCTTCAAAGCACATGAACCCAGTAGCAAGGGGTGGGAACGAATCAACTTTCCAATCTCTACAATCTTCATGTCAATCTCATTCAGGAACAAAATGCATTGTCTCAAATTTGAAACAAATTTCACAACTGGAATCTGTGGAAATTGCAGAAATATTGAGCATAGCTGGCTTTTTGTGGATCCAAATTTCAGTAAGAACCCAATAACTGAAAACATCTTTTCCCCAGAGCCCTCAAATAAAATACTGTGGGTGTTGGCCAATTAATTCACCCAACTGTTTGTCGCTGCAAACCATCTTACTCAGAAAACTTAGAGCTTCAAGCAACCGGCTCCAATTATAAGAATTTTCTTCGGATAAGTTCCCTATAATCCAACTGGTTTCGAATCCAACAGACTTCAGTTTTTCCAACACCTTAAACAACGTAGTATTGACGACCCCACTTAAAAGATTAGGACTAGCAACAGCAAGCTTAATCAAATCAGACTGGCTGAGACCTAGTTCTTCATAAGCTTGAAGCTTTGATCGTAACACCCCAACATGGTATTGAAAGATTTCAGTAGCTTCCTTATAAATCTTTCCTATCTTATTACGACCAACCCCATAATTACACAAAACAGCATAATTATGAAGCAACAAGCCATCGTCGATCAAGAACATCAAATTGCGAGGAAGAAGAGGACCATACTCGGAAGGTTTCAACCCCAAGCTCTCAAAGAAAGGTTCGAATTCATTAATAGGGTGGTAACGCAAGAAACGAGCAATTGAACCCCCAAATCCCTTTTCATTACCAGCACATTTTACAAGCTTCCTGAGAAAATGTGGGGAGTTTTTACTCATATTCTCTGCATCCGCAAACTGTAAGAATCTAGTAAAATACAAATAATCGAATAATGCAGTTTCCGCTTCTTTTCTAATGGCACGAGAAATTTGAGCATCACTTTTGCCATTAGCAATGGCAGTCGAAGTTGTATCCCATTTTTCACAACTTTGAGTCACAGAATCCCTTCTAGTTGTGTAAAACCTAGGGTTTTGGACAGTGGGGAAATACCCAATTGGGTGAATTGGGGTTCTTGTCGATCTAAGGTGGTTCTTATCAAAATTTGAAGAAACCAATTTGAGAATAGATGCCGTTCTGAGTTTGTGCAAATGGGTCATGACCAATTTGATGAGATTCCTAGCCTAGTAATTTCTACAGAAGCTCAAATACCAAGATTCTGCTGAATAAAATGGAAACATCAAGTCTTTCGGGACGAAAGGGTTACCTTGGAAGGGGGGGATTTAAGCTCGCTAATCGGCGAGATTTAGCGCTCCGGCTGCAGAGTTTGTCAAACTGCTGCTGCTGATTGAGTGGCACATCGCCGCCAGAAATGGTTATTTTAGTGCCATCCAAATGCAGAAACGGTCCGACAAGGTGGGGTGAGCTTGAGAGACTGTCTGAGTGAATATGTGACACTCAGACACTCAGTTTAAGAATCGTTGATCTACTGATATTCACCATACGAGACAGTTTAAGAATCGTGAGCTTGAAGCTTGAAGCTTGAGAGGCTGTTTACTTATTAAAGACTTGTTTGAAAATGCTTTTAAGATAGGAAATTATTAAATGAAACTACAAGGATAAAAAATGAATCAACTTGGTCGACAAATTAGGCTAAAGTAAAAGAATAATGAAACTACAGGGACACGAAAATATAATAAGAAAACGACTAGGACGGAAGTGAAAATTGAACTACAAGGATGCTATAAGTGTAATATGGCTTAATCCATTTCCCAAAGTACACGTGTCACCTTAGAATTGCCAGTTATGACGATGGAAAAAAGAGGACTTCACTAGAAAACATTACAAATTGTTGTAATTTTGTTTCTTGGAATTGCTATGCGAAAAGGAAAAGTATGGATTGTAAATTTATTGAGGGCTCGTTTACTAATCCGTAATTAAAATGAAATGAATTAAATTGATGATGAATTAGATTGATGAGGAATTGAAATAAGGTGGAATCAGAATCAGATTCCTATTAAAACTGTTTACTAAAATTTCTTGGAATCGAAGTAGGAATCATATTTATTTATATAGTTGTTTACTTAAATGCATGAATTGGAATGAAAACTATGTAATTACTAAATTGCCCATATCCAAGTCTATAGTTTTTATATTTTTGATAATTTTTTTTTTTCAAAAAACTGAAAAAGCTTAAAAAAATTTGTACGGTTTATCAAATTTTTTCCCCAGATCCTTATCCCTAAATTATTTTCTTTCTCCTGAAGCCCAAACTACACCCCATCGCCTAATTCTTTTCAGCCATCCCCCAACTCTTTTCAGCCTCCCCATCTTTTGATTCTTCCCTTCTTCTTCTTGCTCCCTTCTGATTCTTCTTCTTGTTTTCTTCATATTCTTCTTCCTCATCCACCAATTGTTTTTTTCTTTCTCGTGAAGACCGCACCGCACCCCATTCCCCAATTCTTTTCAGCTTCCCCATCTCTTTTCTCCATCTTCTTCTTCTTCTTCCCTTCTGATTTTTTCTTCTTCTTTGGTATTGGTCACTGCGCGCAGAGACACAGAGAAGCAGATAGAGGTG